AGATCTAATTGCAACCTGTTTTGCCCAATCAATCGCTTGTTGAGCATCTTTGAAGGGACCATCATGTACAAAAATCCCACCGTAATCATTTCCATCTCCACCATAATCCTACAACAATGACATATTATTTTAAATACACATAATTATATAAAGATTAAATTAATACATTTAACACAAAATTAACACATAAATAATTTCTAAATTTTTTATTTGTAAATTTCATTTCTATATTTAACGCATAATACATTTAATTTCTAAATTTACACATAAGTAACACAAAATTAATACATAATTATGTATAAAAGTATTCATACACATACAAAATTAAAACATAATTTTTTTTTAAATAATTAACACATATTTAATTTACACATACAAAATTAAAACATAATTTTATTAACACATATTTAAAACATAATTTCAACTTAAAACATAATTTTTTTTTTGAAATTATTAACGCATATTTAATTTACACATACAAAATTAAAACATAATTTTTTTTTATTGAAATTATTAACACATATTTAATTTCAAATTTATCAAAGTTAAAAAACCAAAAAAAAAAAAACAAAAACTTTAAATAAAATTAAAAAAAAAATTACAAAACGCTGGTCGGCGTTTGGCCAGGACGCCGCCACCGTGGCTGTGGCGTTTAGCCAGATGCCACTACCATGGTGGCGGCGTCCCGGCCAGATGCCACCGCCACGGTGGCGACGGTCAGCCAAACGCCGGCTAGTGTTTCGTACTTTTTTACCTCACCGTACCTCGTTTTTCGGCGACGATGACGGCTCTCTGGTGTCCCTCGGCGATCCAGTCCTGCTCCATATTTTTCGTGAGAGAGAATTTCGTTTTGGCTAAAATTTAGAAAAAGGGCAAAAGCGTCAAAGTAAAAATAATTGTGGGCTTTATGTAGAGATTTGTGGGCGATGTTTAGCAGTTGACTTATTTTTTGCCCTTTTTATTCAATATCTTTCTTTTTTACATAAGTCAAGGGGAGAGGGGGAATGAAAAGTTGGTTTCCAAATTTTAGACTACCCAATTGCCCCTAAAAGCATAAAATAATTTAACTAAATATAGTAATTTACATAATTATGTTAGTTTTCAAAATTTTACCATAATTTAGAATCATCCTAAAATAAAAAATTCTCTAAAAGGAAGTTCAAAAAATTAAAATAAAATATAATAAACATTAGTCACCATATTTGCATTATAAAAAAAATTCATAGGAATAATATCAAATCAAATCTTTATTAATTTTATCATGTAAAGGGATATTAACCCCCGTGCATTACTATTGTAGATGTCATATGGCTACTTATTAATAAAATTATTCTCCCTCATAAAAATATAAAATAAAAAAAACCTATGCAATCAATAAGAAAATTCATAGAAGATCATACATGAACTAAAAAATTAGATTCCAAATATTAAGAGGGCTCTAAACTTTAAAAACATATTTGAAAGGTTGTAATGAATTTAAGACGCTGCATTTGTAATAGTAATTGTATAAAACATCATAGCTATAAAAATAATTGAGTGGAAAAACGCTTTTAATACACAAACATACGCATTGCGCACGTGCATATAGAACTAGTTATAATATAAGGCCTTGTTCACTTCACCTTATTTTTGCTGAATTGAAATTACTTTTAGTGAACTGAAATTATGTTTGCTGAACATAAATTATTTTTACTAATTTGAAATTATTTTTTTACTGATTCTCTATTATGTTTCTTCTTTAATGTTACTGATTTTTACAGAACTGAAACTAATTTTACTGAACTGAAATTATTTTTACTGAACTAAACTTATTTTTACTAATCTTCAATTATTTTTACTGAATATTATTTTTGTAAGGTGAAGTGAACAGGGCCTAAGTCAAGAGGGGTACTAAGATCTTTTTAGGTGGACACCACAGCCTCTCCTTTGGCTTATATAATAGAGATAAGAGAATATATTCAAAAAAGAAAGTGGTGCACTAAAATAAAAATGGTCAAATTTGGAAAATAATGCACTTAAAAACATGGAGTGAGTACATTGACAAATGTAGGGTGATAAAAGAATGTTTCCCTACCTTTTTAAAAGTATGACAAAACTCTTATAAATAGTGTTGAGACGATTATTTCCCTACAAATGTTTACTTACATATTTACCCCTTTTAAAAATATGACTACACTTATATGAATAATGTTGAGATGAATATGCCCCTAAATTGTTTATATACATATTTACCTTTTCTAAAAGTGTGACTAAACTTTTTTTGTTAGTGTTGATGAAAAGATTGTGCCCTTAAATATTTATTTTATCTCTACCTTTTAAAAACTTTGAGATGACTCTTATGAATAATGTTTGAACAATTATACTCTTTTTAAGCTAAAAATGTTTATTTACATATTAGCCCTCGTTAATGTTAATTGTTTATTTAACTCTTAAGAATAGTGTGTGGACATTTATATTTACCCCTAAAAAAATTTGTTTCATATTTTATCTCATTAACACTACTAACAACAAAAGTTGTAACATAAGGCCAAACCGAAAGAACTTCTCGGACATGGCTAGATATGATACACGCGTAAGCCGCACTGGATAATTTAACTGAAAAATATGAGGGAAGTGTATTTTATTATCTCCTTCACTATTGTATAAGAAAAAGGGAAGATTAAGGGGGTATTTCATTAGAAGCTTTTTAGAGCAAAATGAGCTATTTGACCATTTCAAAAAGCTCTTTAATTTAGATGTTGGTTATTAGGAGTTGTTTGTAATAACATTTTGGGTGCAAAAAGTTTCATTTAAAAAAAAAAGAAAAACCTCGTATGCTGAGGAGCATCTAGCTTGTATACACTAAAATAGGTAATAATTAACAATTATTTATCAAATATTTTTATACAACCAACTAATTACAATAATTAGTCAAAACAGTTAATACAAACATATAATAGTTGGTCAAAGCAGCTAATAACTAACAACTAAAAAGCTAATTGTCAAACAAGGTCTTGGTGTCCACTTGAAAACTCTTTTTTACACCTTTATAAGCTCATTAAGATTTTTTCATGTGAAATGCCCAATGTAAACCTTTCCATAATAATTTAATTAAATAAACTACAATTAATTAAAAGTCAATCATATATATACATAATAGAAATAAAAATTGGTATGAGGGAGGAATTCGGGTATAGTAAGGATACTTAGACCTACTTGAGGTAGGAATTGTGAACGATTAGGAACACCTGAATCTCGTTCTCTGTGCAATACCCCGTATTTTTAGAGTATTTATATGGTATAAAAGTACATATTTTTAATTGTGTAAATACAAGTAGTAAGTATTTATACAAATGTTTTATACACATATTTAATAGATATTTTGAGGATTTTTATCATCATAGTTTAAAGCAAGTATTTGACTTTATTTTATGGCATGGATTTTATTGTGCAAGAATATTCTAGAATAATAAACTAAATAATATGATCACCCAAAATCAAGGGAATAAGATGATCATCTTATTTAGTGAATATTCTAGAAAGAATTTAATGTTGAGAATATAATTTTATGCTAGTGCATCTTTCCAAATTTCCAAAACAATTATTTTTGTAAAATCTTTACCTTAATTTTATTTTCATTTTATGACAACTAAATAAACTTGAGGAGCAAGTCAAGGGAATTTTAGGGCAAGCATGACTAAATGCGAGAGCTATATAAACCCATTTAGTCATGAATTTTCAAACTTTGTTGAGTTTCAAAATCAAAGTAAGCATTTTATAAATTTGAAGTTTTGGAGAAAAACAAAAAAAAAGGAATGAAGGCAATCGGCCACCACCAAGGGCAGCCAACCACCACCGCAGCCACGACTGGCAGTTAGCACAAGCCGTTGTTGACCACCAGGTCACGTCCGGGCCGCTGTCGTTGCCACCGTGATCGGTGGGGCTACTGGCCGAAACTATGTTAAAAAAATTCTTTTTTTTTTTTCATTCTTCTTTTCTAATTAATTTTCAGATTTTAATTTTTATAATTTCAAGGGGTTTTGATGTTAATTTCCAGATTTAAATTCATGAAGATTAGTTAATATCTATCATTGAATTTAAAGAGTTTTTAAAGAGTATGAATGTAGTATTGAATTGGTTTATTGGTTTGATTTTCAAAAGGGTTTTAAAGCTTTATAAAAAAGTGATTTTAATTTATTTATAAAGCTAAAATTTATTTTAGATTATGTAATTATTGACTAGTAGAATTGATTATGATCTATTTATGATTTTTAGGAGAGGAGTTCATAGAAGGTGAGTTCTAGTGCTTTTGCTTATTTTGGATTTGCTAGGCAAGGTATGTGATCATATACTCTCGCTCTAGGTAGTATCATGTTAGGTAGATTTATTTTATCGCAAGTCATGTTAGGCCTGGGAATTTATGTGTGAAGCATATAGGGTCCATGAGAGGCCTAGATTATCTTTATGTACTACTTGATATATGTAAAGCATGTTTATATGATGTATGACTTTTTATGCAAGTTGGAAAGCATGTTAGAATTAATTATATGTATGATTAATTTGTATTATTTTGTTAGCATGTATTCATGAATTTTTATTATGTGAATTATGCTAATAAAGTGAATTAAAGTGAAGTGATGATTTTTTATTATGCAAATTAAAGTATGACTACGATGTCAAAGTTAAGCCAAGCAAGTTAAGTCAATCATGTTTATTTTTATTATCACCTAGAGAGTGATTAAAGTCAAGAAAGAATTAATTAAGTGTTATGTGAATTCAAAGTAATTCAAGATTAAATAATTAGGGCATGATGCTTGTGGAAGGATCCCTACAACAGTAGTGGAAAAAACGTCATTTGCAGCGTTCTGTTTGCAGCAAACCTATGTACTGAACGCTACAAATAATGGTTAGTCAACGCGGGTCAACCATTTAATGATTTAATAGCGGCGTTATTTGCTAAAAAACACAGCAAAAAAATTATTTGCAGCGCTCCCACATAAAGCACGTTGCAAATAAGACGATTTATTGTAGCGTTCCATACTTTAGAACGCTGTAAATAAAATTATTTGCAGCGTTTCCCTTATATAGGGCGCTACAAATAATTGTGATATTTACAAAAAGTATACTTCGCCTTTTCCGCCCCTTGCTGAAAACCCTAACCCTAAAAAAAACCCAGAAAGAAGAGAGAGAGGGGGGAGACGATTAAAGCTCTCGCCAAGGCTCAGTTCACGGCGCACCACTTTCCGGGGACCTCTCATCTTTCCCCTCCTCTGGTTCGCTGCCGTCGCCGTTCAACTAGCCATCTCATCACTCGGTATTTCTCGTTTCTCGTTTCTAAATCTATCGTTTTTTCTTTCACTTTTGAGATTTCATGTTGTTTTGTGAGAAATTTGATGTCAAACCCCAAAATTCTCGATTATCATTTTGATTATAATTGTTGATTCTTTGAACTTAGGGTTTTATATTGAAGGAAAAAGCCGTCGGAAAAGGAGGATGAGTTTGTTGTTAAAGCGACGTCGTTGTCTGAGAGTGCTGATGGTGATGAAGCTCCTAAAGCGATTTCTCAGACTTTAGAGCTTGGGATTTTGGTTGGCTTTGGTATATTTTTAATATCTACTTCAATATGCACAATAAGCAGGTTCATACTTTTTTACAATATGTTGATTTTTGTTTGTTATCACGTGATCTTTGTCTAGTATATACTTAAAGTATAAAAATTTAGATATATTTTGAATGCCCAATTTTTATGCTAAAATTATAAAAAAGAGAGTAAAAAATTTGGAATTTAAGCTTAATTAAAAGTGGGTTTTGCTGTTTTAAGCTCAGTTCACTTAAATTTTGTCTGATTTGAACATTTGATACATTTCAGTTGCTTAGCCCCGTTTTAATGATTGCATGTAGCTTCAATGTGACTAACTCTTCGGTTCTCTCTGAATCTGACAATTTTGTGAGTGGTTGCTGATTTACTTTTTAAAGTTGACCAACCAAATCTGTAATTATTGTTAATTTAGTTACACATTTTGTTTCTGAGGTTTGTTTAAATGTCAATTTCTGTAAGATTTACTCAAATACAGTATAAATCTTTTATGGGTTTTGGTCAGTTTGCAGGAATTTGGTGAATTTTGACAAATCTGTAACATTGAGTATTGCTTAAATTAGCAAATAACGGAGAAAATCATGGTACTCTTATTGTTTGCCTATTTTAATTTGTGTGTTTGATTGAATTTTGATTTGATTGATTATTTTGGTATTTGGGGTTTGATTTAGGTTTAGTTTGTGATCAATTGTGATCAATTGAACGTTGAATTTTAGTTATTTGTGCAGGAACTGATAACAACTTTGTAGTCACATAATGCCAAATCTGAAACACATATTTAATTTTATATGACCAACTTGACTGCATTTTAGATTCGTTTGTTGTATATGGCCTTGTTAGATGCGTATGTGCGGAAGATTTGAGTTTTTGCATGAATGATAAAGTGTGATCATATTGATTGTTATGTCTGAAAACTCAAGAATGTAATTTTTTTTTTTTTAATTTTTTTTTTTATTGTAATGACATGCTGAGTTTGTGATGGTGAATTTTACGGGGAACAGGGGACCAGGAAGAATTTCATTAGACTGGACAACAAGAATCAGTCTAGTTCTCGGAGTAGCTCGTAGGGAAGTATGACTATCAATATTTATTATAGATTCATGGTAATGATGTCTCAATCTTAATCTTAACCTTATAGGTTGCATTGATCAGATACAGAATCCTTATAATTATTTCACTTACTGTCATTTGTGTGTGTGTGTGTGTGCGTGCGTGCGTGCGTGCGTGTGCGTGTGTGTGTGCGTTTGTGTGTGTAATGGTTGGGGATGGGGTAGGGGAGCAGCTCTACTGTTACTGATTTCTGACTAGCAACCTGGAAACAAGCTGCTTAAAATTTATAATTAACCATGGCAAATTGGGGATCGTGGAATTACAGCCTAATATTAGGCAATTCGCAAGAGTAAACATATATCTGCTAAAATTATCTATCTGTCTCAATCTTATATCTAATTGATGTGCTCCACTTTTTCAGATATCTGGTTGAATGTTCTCTGCTACATGTGCTCCTAGACATGTCATATAGGCACAACTAGCTAACATAAAAATAGTGAGGTACACTATCTTCTACAGAAGAGACTTTGTGACTTATCTGTGCTTGACTTTGACTTCTGTAGTTGTATAGTGTAATCTAACTTAGCACTCCAATATAAAATTGAGGTATATAAGATATATCTAGGCATTCCTTAATATTCTTCTTTTCAAAGTCATTTTGGCTGCTAATGCTCTAAAGCTCTTTTTAGTAAAATAGTAACTACATCTTTATCAAGAATCAGTCTAGTTCTGTATTCCATTGTTAATATGAACTGGCTATTTTGTATTCTTTTATCTTTTTGTGTTTATTTACACCCGAAAAACAGACAACTATAATAATATGAATGAGAGTAGTACAAAAAGATCATTTTAGTTTTCTGCATTTTAAATTTGAAGATTGATAACTGACTTTATTTTCTGCTTTTGTAATAATCAGAGATTTGTGGGTAGTTCTCAAAGTGGGATTGACTCTTTGGGGAATAGATTATCTAGCCTCGAGAGAGCATTGGATGAGAACTCCCATGATTTAGCTGTGCAAAGTGGAAGAATTGCCAACAATGACTCAGCAGGAAGCCTTTGCTGTCCTAGTACAGAATTCCTGAGTCCGAAATTCTGGAGAAGAACAGAAGGAAGGTCGTCCTCAATTCCAAAGTCATCTTATTCAGGAAGTATGCCTAATAGAAATGCCAGTCTTGAAGCTGCTCCACATATGGATGGTTTTAAGCACCACGAGTAGAACGAAGGCTTTTATCAGGTGTCATGGGGAAGTGTCAAAAGCATTGGCCAAATTGCCTAGAGAGGAAGAAATTGCAGTCCCAGAAGCTTTGATTCAGCTTCCACTACTGCTTGTTTTAATTCAGTGGTTCGAGGAGCATAGACTACAGGTAAACTTAATTCACTTTCTACCCAATTAGTCTGCAATTTTATCAATTCTGATGAATGCATTTTGCAGAATTATGTTTTTTTCACGTGATCAGGCTTACCAAAATTTCACATCTTGCAGGCACATCAAGGATTTGGAGGCAGTGTTGCATGAAGTGAGATCTTCCACAAACACGAAAGAAGAAAGCCACCAAATGCAATTTGATGCTCCTTCAACTACAACGAATGACATGAACAACAATGACCAGCTGGAGCTCAAAGCCATGGTTGATGTCATTGCAACAAAGGCACATGAAATGGCACTAGCTAAGGAGAATGATGAACTACGAGCTAAGATTTAGGTTCTACTCGAGGACAATAGTAAGTTTATAGATTTGTATGAAAGGACAGCTGCAGAGACCAATGAAGTCAATAATGTAGATGCTCAAGGTGATGCCGATGAAGGCCAAACTTGAGTTGTAATTTTTATGGTTTTCAGATTTGGCTAGAGGAGTACTCCCATGATTTACGTGGGGTTATTTGTAATGACCTTGTTTTTTGGATGTTTAATAAAATCATCAACATTGTTTCTATTTGTCTTGTTTTACTTTTGTTTTTGTTTAAATTGATGTATATATGAATATAATCCTAGTACCAAATACCAAAAACAAAAAAAAAATTAAATAAAAAATAAAAATAACAATAAAAAATAATAATTTGCAGTGCTCCTGGGTAGAGTGCGCTGCAAATAATTGGACTATTAGCAGCGCACCTAGCTAGGGTGCACTGTAAATAATCCAATTATTTGCAAAATAATTGGACTATTTGCAGTGCACCCAGCTTGTGCGCGCTGCAAATAATCCAACGTATTTGCAGCGCACAAGGTTAGGCACGCTGCAAATAATCATTTTTTGCAGCGTTTTATGCTCGCTGCAAATGATATCCAGTAATTGCATCGCCCACATATGCAACGACGAAAACGGTGCAAAAAGGGGGGTTTTGGCGCGCTGCAAATAGCGTTTTTTCCACTAGTGGAAGTATTAAGTACAAGAGAATCTAATGTTTTAATGCTTAGTCTCCTAATTGTAGTGTGAGACGTTGCACTACTGTTTTTAGTGGAATTCCCAAGGTTTTGGTGTTATGTGGAGGCGGAGTGCATACACCGTTTTATTGGAAAGTTGATCCCTTTCCTGTTAAAAGTAGTAGGGTTGACGGAGGACAATACAATAAGTATTGTCACATCTTCCCATGATTCCCATTCATGTACCTAACCATGTAAAGTAAAGAGTAAATTAAAGTTTAAAGTGAAGAATTAAAGTAAGTCAAGTCAAATTGATTTAAGTGTTTTTTTTTTTGGACAAGAAGTTGATTATAGTGTTGATTATGTATTTATTGTTGATTTATGTGATACCATGTTGTAGACATCTGATTGTATCTCCCCAAAAACCAAACCCAGTGATGAGTACCTTTCACGTCTTTGATTAACGAGTTCGGTAAAGAGTTGAAGAATCTCGCGAAGTCCCGTTAAGCCTTGACCATACCCCTAACCTTTCCTAAAATGTTTTAATCCAAAATCATTCATTTCATGCCTTCAAAACCAAAATCATTAATTTCATGCCTTAAACCCAAAATAATTCATTTCGTGTCCTAAAAATCATTCATTTTGTGTCCAAGTCATAAAAATATCCCAACCAGATTGTTTTGGTCCATAATCCCGCTCCAATTATTACTCAGTTGGATGAGGCTTGAAAAGAGCTTTTCAACGATATATTATAAGCCTAAATCTGATTTAAAACGAATAAGTTATGGCCAAAATACTAAACCAAGCCCAAACCTGATCTAGGTCCACCTTACCTATGACCCACCGATCATGTGAGGGTCCAAATACCATTATACCAATCCTAAACCAATTAGGATTCATTAGGAGCTTCTAGAAGTCTTTAGAAGGTTCTAATCTATCCTTTCCGAAAAGATAAAAATCAAAGAGTTTGAGATTGAATAAAACTTTTCCTTTTGATAATCCTTGTTCTATTCAAATTAAAGAACGTTCGGATATAATTTACATAGAAAACCCATCAGAAACCAAACTCCGAGTAAAATAGATTATCCTTTAAAACCAGCACATAACGCTAGGACCAACGCACTGCGACAGTCTCAGCGCAGCATGATAGCACCCAACGCGGCACGATAGCACCAGCGTGACGCGATAGCACCAGCGTGACGCTATAGCACCAGCGCGGCTCGATGGTCCCAACACGGCACGTCAGAGCCAGTGCGGTGCGACAAGAGCAGTTCTATTCCGTTCCAAATTCCGATCTTTTCTGATCGTCCGACTCTTTTTTTTTTCCTTATAAATAGAGGTCGTTTTCCTCGTTTTCAAATCAGTTAGAACCATCAATCATAAGCCATAACCACCTAGCTCCAATAATCATCAATCCTTATCAATCATCCATGTTCTTAGCCTAAACACATCCTCAATACTCTCCTAAATCAGTCACAATACCTCTTTCGCGAGATTCGAATACTCTAAGCCATCCTCGACGTTGCTTTCGACCTCGACGTGAGAGGTTGATAGTTCGTTCTAAGGGTTAGGTCCCAAATCTATATTTCATTTCATATTTGATTTATTTACTTTATTGATTTAATTTTCTTGAACTTTACTAAGGTGTGTATTGTTTTAATAGCAAGAAGGTTGTGTTTCGGGGTTTTCTGATGTCCTGCGGGAGAGTTACAATTCCGAGACTGGAACCGGACGCCTGTACCTGCAAAATAACGGAGACTCCTGAGAGCTCCGCCTCCAACGGTCAAGTTAGTACCTGATTAAGGAGTAATTAATACGGAAATTAAAGTAATAAGACCTCTCCAGGTGAGAGTGTTTAATGTTGGTAATCTGCTTTGTTAGCGAGATTAGCCGGTTATTAGTGTTCCGTAATATTTCTGTTCTTCTCTGTTCTTCAGGTGAGATTAACTGCTTGATCAATTGCCTGATGTTTTCTTGACCGCTTAATTAATGAGGATTAATTAAGTATTTATAGTCTTGAGAAGCGTGCCACTCTCTAGGTTTAGGGTAAACCTAGGGCTGACCGGGCCTCTAGACAGGATTGGGCCTTGTTGGCCGGTTTTCCCATTTGGCATGGGTGGACACGTGGCGTGCCTCGATTGGTCCGTAGAGGACGTATCTGTGATTGACACGTGGCAGGCTCCTGTTGGCCTACGTGAAGGACACGTGGCGGAACCTGGTTGGTCCACTTGTCAGACGGTGATTGGTGGATAAAAATCCCCTAATCATTTGCCCCTCACAGGTGGCACGTGACTAGTCACGTGTCGCCTGTGACAGGTGTCGCACGGTGACAGGCGACGGCCTGCTACAGGTGTCACCTTGCAAACGGCCGAGAGATTTTCCCGCCCAAATTTTGAATTTGGAAGCGACCCTTCGCCTTCTCACTTTGCCTATATAAGGAAGTGCTGACTTCGGTCATTTTCACATTTGAGAACTTTGCGAGAACATTCGGACCCCTGAACTTGCTCTGACATTTCGGACCTTTTCTGCCTACCGCCTGTTCTGACAAGCCGACTGCACCGGATTTCCAGAACTTCATCAACCGTCACTCGTTCAGGTAACTTAGTTCTCTTACTCTTAATTTTCTTTTTATTTTTTGAAATGGCACCACGGAAGCACACGACACGACCTAAGTTAGTGATCAGCCGGTCACCGGGGACGGCTGAATCTAGGACTAGGAGTGCCGCCTGCCCTTTTCTGGACCCATCTTTGCCCTTTATACAAAGTCCGACTGTATCTGTGTCTATGCAGAACGTGATGGCCAGAACAAAAAAGACTGCTATGATATCAAACTCAGACGGCTCCTCCCAAAGGGTGCTCATTAGTGAAACATCTGACCAGGCGCCAGATGTAGAATTGAAACGAGGCGGCATCCAAGCCGACAGTTCTGAGAGAGGGGCCAAGGTGGTCCCTTCCCATCTTACCGTTGATATGTCTAATTTTCCTCCTCCTCCTTCTAAGGGAGAGGAGGCGGGCCCCTCTGGGAGAGGGGAGGAGTCGTCCTCTTCGGACTCGTCAGAGGACGAGTCCGAGTCCAGCTCTTCTGGCCACAGTTCTCCAGGCTCAGAAGAAAGACATAGCCGCCTACAAGAGGCGAGACTTTCTCATGCAGTTGAGAAGGGGGACAATTGGGCGGAGCCGTCCGCCTCTTACAGAGAGGAAAACGCCCCCTACTACTGCATGGTACCCCGGGGCCGGATCGCAACCATGCAAGACAAAGTGGAGAGCTTTATTGCTAACCACAGAATGGGCCCGAAATTTTTACTGTTCGTGCCGGATCCAGAAGACACTGTCGTCTGGCCGGCTGGTACCAGCTATGATGACGGCTGCTTTGGCTGCTATGTGGCGGCCATCAAAGCTGGACTGCGCTTCCCATTACATCCGGCTGTTCAGCGGATTTTAGATGGGTATGATTTGGGGTTATGGCAGTTAGCCCCCAACTCTTGGGTAAACGTACTCGGCTATGTGGCCGGGTGCGAAATGTACGGGGTGGAGCCAAGCTTTGAGGCTTTCGCCCACATGAACTATCTCAGCCGGACCCCTAAGTCGGGAGGTACCGGCTGGTATCAATTAACAAGCCATAGGGGTTACCTCATGACGAGAGGTAAGGCGAACAAATGGAAGGATTGGCGGAACACCTTCCTTATCATTGAGGGTTCAGACACGGAGCTGAACCAACGTTTTAACAAGTGGAATAGGGATCCGCCTCTTCTCGCAGGCGGCCGCAGCATGCCGCCTTTTCCCCCAAAGGCTAAAAGAGAGATCCTAGACAGAGGACTCTTCAAAGTAGAGACTAGGGTGAACTCTACTTCAGGGGTACGAGAGCAAGTACCCCTAAACTGCGTCCCGAGCTTCAAGTGGCTCTATGACGAGTACTTTTTGGCCGCCTGTGGCCTCAGCAGTCGGTGCTCTAGAGGTAGCCGGCCTGACAAATACTCTGTTTTTTTTCACGCCTTGTTTACTTGGGATCTTTACTAACTTTGCTGTTTATTTTTTGCAGCTGACGCCATGAGTAAAATAACAGCATCCAAGACTGCGGCGGCCATGTTGCGGGCCTCTCTCATGCAACAGTCTTGTGCCGACTCCCCCAACAAGGGGGCACCCTTGGTAGGCTTCGAAAACTCTTCCTCTTTTAGGAGTTGTCTTATGCATATACTAACTCTTTTTGTTTTTCAGTCTGGCACTCCAAGAGCTTCTTCCTCGCAACAGCCGGACCCCAAGGCCCGGAGGACGACTGTTGCAAGCTCTCCTGGGTCTTCCAGGAAAACAGTGGCGGCTGAGAAGCAGCCGGCCACTTCTTCTAAAACCCCGGCGGGGCCGCCTAGAAGTATGGACAATCACTTGTAAAAACTCACTTGCTTCCTTCTTGACTAGGTCTAACTTGCTTTTTTACGCTTGATGCAGCCGGCCCTCAGGGGCTTGACTTGGTTGAGGTGGCCAAGTCCATGATCAAAGTAGTTCCTCCATCTGAAAGGGAGGCGGTCAGGGGTGCCGGCACCCTTGACCTTGATGGGATTTCAGGGGTCCTTGCTGAG